TCCCTCCTTTATGCTGGAAGGCATGAGGAGGAGCTTGCTGCCTGCAGGGTGCCAGGGAGGTGTGTTGGCTGCTTGGAATACCTTTTCTAAACGCGTGATTCCAGATTGGCAATACCGTCCCAAGGTCCCGTGAAAAACCTAAACTCTAATCTTTGAAAACCTGTCTCAGATACCCATGTATATTATATAACTGTGTGTATTGTTAATTTTTGATTTGTTGTTACTCGTTTTTTCATAAATTATGGAAGGAAGTATGTATAAATATATAATAGAGAAAACCCTCTCAAACGACCTCTCCTCCAAGTCTTTGATCCTCGCACTTTTCTTCTCTCTGCATTTCTTGAAACCATGGTAACAGATGGGAATAACCTATCCGCATTATAGTGACTGCAGAGTAAAAGATTAGGCTTGTTGCAGATTCTGATGTATTAATATAGCACAATCTATAAGACATAATCTGGTAACTAATATTTGAAGAAAAAGAATTTGCTATTAATTGTTAAGAAATCAGATGGACTTCAGCCTCCTATGATCCTGTGTCTTTTTGTGTTAGTTTATTTCTCTTTGAAGCGGTTCTGTAATTTCAGCATTCCTCCTCTTTGTAACCAATAGTCTCTGTAAATTTTAACCTGCAGATTCTCACAGCCTGGACTCCACTCGATACTCCATAATAGGAGGAGACCTCCGTTTCTCGACAGATCTGGAGGAAAAGCTAAAGAAGCATAACCTGGATATACAGTAAGGTGTTTTTTTTTTTTTGCTTGTTTTTTTTTTTCCTTGTCTTGTGGAGGCAGACTGTGCAAAGTCAGTCTTGGACATACAGTGTCTGCATCCACTTATCATTATGCCATTTCCATGGTTACCTTTGGGAGCCCTTTGAGCAGAAGGAATTGTGCAGACACCTCCTGTAGCCTCGCTGAGCTGAGCAGGCTGCTCCGCAGCTCCTGCCTGCTAGTCCAGGCCTGCAGCAAGGTGATTGCTGTTGTAGTCCATTCTGCAAAATGTGTTTTTATCGTCCTGAGAAGATAAACATTAAAGAACTACTGGTTTCATGGTCTTAAACTACTGGAATGAATGAAGTTTGGGGGGATTTCTTTTTTTCTGTTTTTGTTTGTGTTTTTTCTGTTTTGTGAACGTGTTTCTACACGTTGCTTGTGGTCCTTACTCAGAAGTTAAAGCTGTTGCTGTAGGTCAGGCGGTTGTAAAGGCCTCCTTTCCTTTTTTTCCTTTTTTTTTTTTTATTTGTTTTTTTCCCCCATGGGCGCGG